TTAAAAATGACAAGTTACAATTCCTTTTGTACAATTCCTATAATTTTCTAGGATTTTCAGAATCTGGAAACATGAAGCAAGTTTGAATACACTCTCAGGTTCTTCATGGGACAACATCAGATAAATTTTCAGAGTTATTAAGTAATACCTAGTGACTTTTGACACATTTTCCACTTGTTTCTCCATTAGGGGCACATTCTCTTCCCCTCAAATATCTTTAACTATTTGCTTAAGGTAATTGTCATTTGAATACATCAGCAGAGTAATAAGCAATGTGTTGACATATTTTTGAAACTGAACATACTTGTGGAATAGAGAAAGGAAGCTTATGTGTGAAATAAAGAAATGGGATGGATTTCCTCATCGAAATTGCCACTTTAAATTGTTATTTGATAAAAGGGGGGGCTATGCTTTTTTTTTTTTTTTTTTGGCACTAGATCAAATATAATAGGATATGATCTGAGAGAGGAGAAAAAGGGCCCAAGCCTCCATGTGTACTGCTTTCTGTGATTAAAATAATAACACATATGCACTGTCATAAGATCTACTGAATCACCAATCTCTTCAGCTCTGATATTGCAAATTACTTCAGAAATTAGTCAGTGCTAAAGCAGAAAATAGTTTTTCACATATGTTTCTATGGGGAAAAAAACTGTCATGTTTTAATAATGTATTTGTCCTCTTCAGTAACTTTAAATATATTGGAATACATTTGAGCTGCAAAAAGATAAAATCTCTACATCAATTTCCCACCTCCTAATGTTAACATGAAGACAAATGGAACAGTTGCTACAGTCAGATTTCAGATTTGATGCTCGGAAGTGTTATGCATAAAGCTCTGATAAATATTGTTTATGTGTAATATGATGGATCTGGGAAAAACAGAGCATTGCTTAACTGTGTTGTTTCAAAAATGTCCACAGATCAATGCACAGAACAGTGGAAGATAAAAATTAAGATATCACTCTACATAGATTTAGACTTACAGTGACATAGTCTGAGACTAAGCAGTGGAAAGTTTGGTCTTATATGCCTTTCTTAATTTTTTTCTCTTTATGTGACCAAAAGAGATAAAAGTTCCCAGTTCTCCTTTGCATCAAATTATCATTTGCTGTTTTTCTCCTGTATAGTCAGTGGAGGTTACTCTAAGTGATTTATCCTCAACCCAAATAAAAATCAGATCAATATTTGTAGCAGTTACAATTTTTAAAGCATTTTCCAGGGAAATGTTTAGTGATCGTAAAAGTGGATAAGACAAGTAAACAACAGTCAAATGCTGCATTGCTAGCTTGTACTCCATCATACATGTAAAACTATAACTGTGCCCTGCCAACAATAGCTCACTCACACCATGGGTCTACTCACAGTAGACGAGATTACTACAATATGCTCTGCATTTGGCTGGCCCTGTCAACTATCCAGGAGCTGCAGTACAAAATGCAGCCATCCGTCTATTAGTGAGTGAAAACCCCTGTAACTGCAATCATGCCAGTGTTACAGGGATGAGAAGGTTCTGGTTTAGAGCTATAGAGCCAGCTGCCCAAAACCTTCTGCTTCAGGGGTAGAATCTATATCCAATTCACATGCCTCTTCCCTATGTGAACTTCATGGGGGACATGTTTTTCAGTTAGGGTTCCATCCCTCTGGAACAGCCATTCCCTGCAATGGGACATGTGGGCTCACTCTACTTATCTTTAGAAAAGTGATTAAGGCTGAGCTGTTTCATAGAGTTTTTCATCATGAAGGTTGCTACTGGAGGTGGCAAGCCAATACTCTTTTTACTACAGCGTGCATTTGTCATTCTGTTTTAATTGTATTTGTTATGTTTGGGGCTGGTTTTAAACATATATTTAAACACACATTTTAAATGTATAGTTAAAATTGGAGTGTGGTAGTCTATAAATATAGCAAATAAACAAATAAATCTCCCAGCTACTTATGCATGTGTGTGTGTGTATGTATGCATGTATGTATGCATGTAT